ATATACTTCCGAGCTATTTTACCATATAATTACCATACGATTGTCAAGTTTTTTATGTTTAAAATCGCATTGTAATAAAGCATGTCGTAAAATATCTAAAGATTTATATTTATAATCAGGATAATCGCTTAATTTATCTTAAATCATGTTTATAAAGTAGGAACTTTATTTTCTTTATACATATTATAAATTGTGCACCGAATTACATCTGGTAAAATCGTAAGTTTTCTTTAATTATGTATTTTTCCGTTTCCATTTTGTATCGTGATCAATCCTTCTTTAATTATGCGATAAATTGGCCTTTTTTGGATATATTAGTTAATTCGTTAATCCGTTTCCTAACTTTTTTTATCACATTGTTCACTATTTTCAATTTTCAAACATTCATGTATATTTAATATAATACGTTGACTTTTTACGTGTAAATGAGTTTGTTTCGAGGTTTTCGACAAAAACCGGATCCACTATTTGGGGATTTCCCCGAGTTCTTTCGTTATCATCCGCTTCAAAGAGTCTACAGAGAGCCACGCTAAATTACTAGATAATTACATATAACATTTATTTTAATAACTATTACCCTTTACTTGTTACGATATGAACAAATAATAATATCAACTAATAAATAATAATACGTATTATACTAACAACATACCCCTCCAAGCAATGCTCTGCACGGCTTTGGCAAAGCGACAAAGCTAAGTGAACCCGTGTACCATACAAAAAAATTATTTACGACCTAGTGGACCAATACAGGTTTGCTTTGATGACCAGCGCGCCGCCGTCAATTCTACATCAGGTGGACTAGTTTACCAATACCGGACTCTCTGAATTGCTATTCGAGTATAAATTACGAGACACATCATAGTCAAAGCATAAGAAGAAATTTCAGGAGGAAAGTGCATACGATCCTGTACTTTAAGATTTACAGGTTCCAATTGACATCGTAACAACTATACTATTCTATTCTCAGGGTCGTAAATTGTATAGGAACGGCAGTATTTAAAGTTTATGTTGACATCAAAGAAGGTCAAGCTAGCAGAATAAAGAATGCAAATCAAATGTGGTACCTATTGTCGCGGACCGAGATCGATCGCAAGTTATTGCAAATATAGGAATTTAAATAAAAAAAAAAAATCGAGAACGCGAGACGATCAACAGCAGATGACAGCATTGACAGCGGAGAAGAGGGGTGATACTGTTTACCCGAATTCTAAGACAATCTCAATTGTGCAATATATTATGACCTCAAGGGAATACGTAGGCGCTAGTGCGTCCCGCCCAACGATGGATGTAGAGGAAGAGAGACTCCAGCAGTCTCTCACTTCTACAGAATCACTAGAAGGCGTCTTCAGTCAGTCGAATGGACAACCTGGAGTCAATATTGACAGTTCTCGGCCAGATTTGACTAGAGAACGACATCAACTGGAATTGAGGTTTTCAACTGACGGAGACTTACTAGTAAACCCGGTTATTAGCGCCGGAGGGTCCCCCGGCGCCTCAGCGACGATCAGGCATGCACATGAAGTCGCGCAGGCGCGCGGGCGAGAACACTATAAAATAATAAATTGTTGATGTGTTAATAATTAATGGATGACATGCTACTTTAATTAATTACTAACTGTAGGATATGCGCCATACAAAAAACAATTACAAAATAAGGGCAACTTTATTATAAGCAGTCCTTGTACGGGGTGATTCAATAACAATGGGAAATCCGAAAGCTGATGATGCTACACGTGAAATGGTGGCGATTGGGACAAGCTGCCTCATCCGAAAGTTGATAGTTTCGGAAATACAGGGTGTTGAAAGTTAAAATTTCATTCGCTTTTCTTGCGATTGTTCTGAAAATATGTAGGTTAGGAACTTGAAAATTTGTGAAAATATATGTTTTTAAGCGCGTTCCATTATTCCATGGCTAGAAATTGGCCTCAATGATTTGGGATCGAGGGGGATTATCCCTCTTTATCCTGCCTTATCTCGTGTAGGCCTGGACAGCCTTGGTAGGTGGGCCCCATCCGTCGTCTACCCCGACCGCAAATGCGGCCAGTGTAAGCGCTTTGTGGGACCTCCTTTTGTTCTGGCTGGGCCCCGCCGGCTAGGGCCTTTTCTTCTGGCGCTCTTCTTGTTTTTTAAGCGACGAATAAGATGCGCGTTGCAATTTCAGCGTTGCTCGTAGAGGGCACCACTTACGACCAATTTCACCGACATTTAGTTAATAACTTTTTACCCTGTATGTCTAACATGAAACATGATTCAATACCTAAAAAAGCAATAATTTTTCCATCAATTACGTATCCTTGTTTCATTTCGGTATTTCGATCCGTTTCAGATAAAAATCTATTTAACCAACACCATACATCTAGTAGGCTGTAAATAGTTTATTTTAATTATAAAGCTTTACCTTATCCTCACTATTTCAGCTTATTTTAGGAAATATGCTAAAAAACGCCCTGGTAAATCGGTTTTTGGGTTGCAAAAAAATTAGGGTCGTCTAACATTTTTATTTTAAGAGATAGAGAAAACTTATTTTAATAAAATTTCATGGTAAAATTGATATCTTTCACCTAGTCTAAACAGATTTTTAAAATATAGTATGTAATTTGCTGCGCCCTCTACGCGGGCAAAAAAATTGTCATCGAAGCAGGCTGTGGCTACAAAAAATTGCTTGATTTTTCCTCTTTCATGCTATATGCTACATGTTACCTGTATCTTTTATATGTATTACATTTTTTTACAATTTTGATATAAAAAATGTAAACATTTTCGTGTTAACGTAGAAATTGTTGTAGACACATCAATTACAAACATTTTAATAAATACATTATACTTCTTTTAAGCAAAATATAGATTTTCGTTTCACACTCTTATAAAACTGGTTTTTTACTTTAGAGAAAACTGATCCTTCAACATTATTCTTGCACAGATAAACAAAGTAGCTTACGCTAAATGTATTACGCTATGACAACAAATGTGTTATCCCAGTAATGACATCATTTAACAAATTGTTTATTGTTATAGTTTATACATAACTGTTGGTTTGAAAATTGTTACAGTTCACTGTGATTTAAAAAACTATAATTTTGAATAATAATGATATTTTTACATATTGAGAAGTTTAATATGTTTGGATTGTACCATCAATGCAATTTCAGTTATATTCAAGCACTTGCGGAATGTAGAAAACCTTCGCTAATAAAATCAGCTGTTATTAATAAAGTAGGTAATGTTAACAGAATTTTAAATTATGTAAATAGAAAAATGAGCAAAACAGTGAAAGATTGAAGTGAACTACAATTTCGAGAAAGATATTGCAAGAATGATATAACGAAAAAATGGTTTCAAAAGGTGAAAAAAGTGCAGGAATGTAAACCGAGGATATAAGGATTCTGCAGGTGGTGACAAGAAAGAAAGAGGGAAGATCCTTTTATATGCAGAAGAATTCTCTTGTCAGATGTGTCTAATTTTTGTAACATGCATTTGTTAATGGGAACATTTACTTCAAACGGTAATTTACATTGGTATGGAGAAACTGCATTTCAACAGAGGTTTTCAGTAAACGTTTGGGATAGAATTCTTGATACCAAAATCATAGGACCTTACTTCTATGATGGTAAACTGATGGTGCCAAATATTGCAGATTATTTGCTTAAAAGAAGTAGGTATATTATATTCATTAAATTTTTTGTAGTTGGCATGTTTAAAACAATTTCTACATTAATATATTAATTATATAAAAAATGTATTTAATATAAAAGATAAAAGTGACATGTAGTACATCGCATGAAAGAGGAAAAAACAAGCAATTTTTTGTATTCACAGCCTGCTTCGATAACAATTCTTTTTGTCCGCGTAGAGGGCGCAGCAAATTACATACGATACTTCAAAAATTTGTTTCCATCAGGTGAAAGATATCAATTTTGCCATGAAATTTTCTTAAAATAAGTTTTCTCTATCTCTTAAAATAAAAAAATTATAACTCATAAAGTTGGCGCTGGATGTCAAAGTTTTTACAAGCAACAAGGCTTCAAAAAATGCAACAAAAAACATATAAAGATTTTTGACATGCATCGTGTATTAAGCGAGATCTATAGGAGTGGCCCTCTTATAGTAGACAGCCTGTATGTACTCATGTCTCTAGTACAGAACTTTTTTTGTGGAGTTGTGTTATTTCCTTTTCGAAATCTCCAACAGTACACGATTACTTCTATTAAGCTTCCATTTCATTGTCTGCAGCTGGATTTCAGATACATGCATGCAATAAATTGTTTTCTTTGTGTAAAGTAAATAGTTTGTACAGACTTTCTAAAGAATCAAACTAACGCGATGAATGTTAGGAGACCTGTATGTAGAAAAAATTCGATTATTTATTAGTATTACTGACTAATGCAAGGATATGGATTGCAAGCTACCGAGTACTACAGAAATCGCCATAAATTGGAATTTACTTTCTGTTACCATTTTCGTGTTGCAGTCATTGCGCTTTTCAATAAATCCGTAGCACGATTTTTACATGACTATTTAAAATTTAGCACAGTATCTTGAAAATAAAGTTACACTTTTTTTCCTTAATTTATGTCGCAAAACACACCAAAGTTCTACCAAACATTTTAGTTTCACCCTGTATGTTATTAGTGCCCACTAAGCTGCGTATGGGGATGTTGTATGAAAATTTTTGCTAGCCTAAGTTCTTACCAAATTATTTACTACTGACGTTAAATAGTACTCAACATGTGTGTTTCTTCTTTTGTTATCGACTCAAATAGCGTTTCGACTTATAAACTTAAAAAGTTGTATTGTCTTAAAACTAAGAGATTATCAAAAAATGAAAAGTTTATTGAAATGTGCCTTTTGTCCTCTCCTATATTGCGTATTACATTTGCCTCATTTTCGGTAGAATACAAACTGTCGCATTTCCTACGGAAGTGGCAAGAGAAACTGACGAAGGAGATAAGAAATGATATATAAATATCTACTTTATTGCTTACCATTTGTATTTTTAACATAACCGACTATAAATATTTCTATTCTTCCGTGAAAATACTCGTTCAGATCAAAATGAGAATTTTATTTTACAGTGTATTTTTCCTCTGTGTAATATTCGTTGTGTTGAGTAGTGGTGCTACATTAAATACACATCGCATAAGAAGATTTCTTGTTAATCGAGTAAACTGTCCCTATAATGAGATATACCTGCGAGGACGATGTCGAAAGTTGGTAAGATTACAAACTATAGTAGAAGCATATCCAGAAACGTAGTAGTAAGCCAAGGGATCAGATTGCTCTTAATTTTAAGGATGTAGTTAATAATCACCCAAAAGATTAAAATTTACAATTTAGTTCAATGATGGATACGTTGTTTTCTAGAGTCAGTACATACTAACATGAAACAGTAATTAGTTTTAATTCTTTGATGTCACAAAAAATATTAGCTCCAGATTGGCACCTAGAGATTTATGTTTTGGGTTATAACTTTGAAACCACCTTGTGTATTTTCATAAAATTTTCGCATAGGTAGTGAATTACAGACAAGACTCCAAAATTCAATGTTAAAGCCGGACTTTGCTATAACGAGATATCCAGAAACGGAAAGAATATACGAGGTGAACAAACATTATTTCAACATTTTTACAGATGTCATGTTATCAAACTGTATTTTTCGAAACCTGTCATCAAAAGTCGCCATTTTCGTTAAATTTTCAATTGACAAAGTGAGTCTTTTTTATCACCTAGCTGTAAAATATTTTTATTTTGCACTGTATGTAAATTGATAATAGCGATATTGCGGTGAGTTAAATTTATGCCAGATCCACTGCTGACAGTTATCGTGGCTTGTTGTGGGTGTTCACTGAGGCTGTTACTGTAATTGTTTAAGTTTACTGTGCTCGCTGTATTATTGGCAATTTCTGTAGGCTCTGCTGACTGAAGATGGTAAAATGAGAAGATGAGGCAAATTGAGATAAGTTGCTGTTTCTTTTGGTACATTTCTTATTTTGTTGAAATCAACCATTTGGTTAACACATTTTTCCCTGACGGAATAATTGAATCTTTGTCTTCTATATCATCGATGGTTATCTTTAGTAGCTCATCTCTTCTCAAAGCTCCACAAACACCAATTATTAAAATGACTTGATAAGTGGTCCAAAATAAAAATAACATATTTGGATCCGTCTTACTCAGTTTCTACGAACTAACACAAATGTTGTCTTGCTTCACCATAAATTAAAACGATATCCATCAACACCGAGTTTGCCATTTTTGACACTGACTACAAAAAAAACTATTGTAAACACTATCGCAACAACGATTGTAAAATCGGATTTCAGTATTCGGAGTCACTGACTGAGGGCACGCGGCTCTCCACGCGTATTTCGAATGACGCTAGAGACTACAGCTATCCAGCTATGTAATGGCTGGATGTACTACAACTTCAATAATTTTTTTCTCGGAAACTACAAGGATTTTAACCATTTCTCATGCCGCAATTATTCCCTTTGTTTAAATAAGTTTTGAATCACCCTGTATACAGACCAAGAAATTTAACCCCAGTAACATTTTCAACAGATTTTCCTTCAGCCCTAAGCAACAAACTAGAGTCTACTGTAGCGTTTTTAGTACAGAACTCTACCGCCATAGTCTTATTTACATTTAGCCTAATGCCTTTATCTCCACACCATTTCTCTATTCGCACTATATCACTGCAAGGAAAATGTTGAATATTCCTTTTGTTTTCTGCAGAAATCAATACATTGGTGTCGTCTGCATAAATTAAATCTGTATTGTTAGTTATACCGCATAAGGGCAAATCGCTAATAAAGCAATTAAATAGTGCCGGAGATAAGCAAGAGCATTGATCAGCTCCACTGTTAATATTTTTTTGTAGTAGTAGTAATTTTGAAAAATTATGTCTGCTTCTTTTAAGATATTGTTAGGGAAAAAATTGTTTAACATTCAATTTTGTTTCAGTATTGGTAACTCGCTCCCTTTTCGATAACACACTAATAAGGATCCAAGTAACCAGCTTCATCTGAGTATACTGTATGCAATTAAATCATATACGCAATAAAATTGTTTAAAAGCAGGTGTTTATTTTATTTCAATAAGTAGACAAGTAGGTAAAAACAAAAATATAAATTAAATAAAAGTACATCCACCTTTTTTCCGTTGTAACACAAAACATTATGTTCCATGTACCTTTGTCGCAAAGTGTCTTTATTTTGAATAAATGCAAAACATAAACATTAATTTTCGATTAAAAGAATTACGTACTATTAATTTCTAACAAAATTGGTTAAAAATTACACAGGCATGCAAAAAAAGGTGGACTGTTCAAAAGATAAGAGCCATGCCACTCTATACAGGGTGTCCCATATAAAACTTCCCACCAGAACATTTCGTTTAATATGAAGTTTTAAAAAAATTCAAAAAACACGTCGATTGTTAATTTGTGGGGGACATCGACTTACATCATTACTTATTTTGGAGTTGCCACCCCCTTGTAGATCAAGGTATCAACTTTGAAATTTCAAAAGGCACTACAGGGCGTGTGGTACATCGTTTGAAAGCTCTTTTGATACTGACTTTGAACCCGTAAAAAAAATAAAAAAAAATGATATTCGTTTTCAAAAAATAAGTATTGAAACACAATTTTTAGAATTTTGTATTTTTACATTTAAAATTGTTTTATTTTAATTTAATAGCATGTGTTAACCACTGAAAATATTTTCATACATCAAACCATTAATTATTAAACTGCAAAGGTTTCTAATTCAGACGATAAAAACAATATTAAACGAAACATAATTTCTTATAAATTTCATTGTATTCCATTCCATTTTACCTTTTTGCTTGATATCATTTTATCGGAAATGTGTTATTGTTGAAACCATTTTCAATTGTATCAAATCTCATGTTAGGCTTACAATCAAAGTGAAACTTTTACATTTATCAATATTTCATTATGGTTTATTCGTTAGATGAAAAAGTTTAAATAATTTTTCTTTATGGAAAACCAAATGAATGTGCTACAGAAACTACTCGAATTTTCAATGAGTTGCATCCCGATCACCAAACAAGTCATACGTACGTGAGCCAAATTGTTAAGAAATTTTGAGAAACTGGGTCCGTAGCAAATCTTAAGAAAACCAATCCCCCAACGAATTAATGGAATTTTGGGCGAACTGACAATGAATCCACACCAGTCCGTGCGTTCGTTAGAGCGTACTACAGGGATCTCTAAGTCGAACGTTCATCGGATTTTGCAAAAACATAATTGGCATCTGTATAAAATACATCTTGTGCATTGTTTGAACGAGGAAGATCCGGATCGAAAAATAGAATTTTGTGATATCATGCCTAACAGAATTACAGAAAATCAAAATATGCTTTACAATATCAGCTTCAGTGATGAGTGTACGTTTTTTCTGAATGGTATAGTGAATAGACATAATATTTGTTATTGATCGGGTGAAAACCCTCATTGTATTAGGGAATCGCACACTCAGTATCTAGAAAAGCTGAACGTCTGGGCAGGAATATTGGGTAAATACATAGTTGGTCCATTTTTTTTAGATGGTACTTTGACTGGAGCCAGTTATTTACGTTTGTTGGAAGATCATATTGATCACATGATCAGAGAAATTTTGGAGGATGATGATCAGCTGGATGAAAATCTTGTGACGTTCCGACAAGACAGAGCTCCGACCCATTTTGAGTGACGAGTTCGGGCTTGTCTGGAACAGCATTTTCCAGGACGATGAATAGGTAGGCGTGGGGTTACAGAATGGCCAGCTCGGTCTCCTGATTTTAGTCCAAACGACTTTTTTCTATGGGGACATCTCAAATCAGTGGTTTTTGCAAGTCAACCCGAAAATCTTGAAGATTTAAGACAACATATTGTAAACGAATGTCGGAATTTAACTCCAGGAGTTTTTGCAAATGTAAGATGTTTCATAGACAGGCTCCATATTTGACAAGAACAACTGGCTGCACACACAATTTGAGCATCTATTATAAACAATTTTAAATGCAAAATACAAAATTCTAAAATTTTAATTTCAATGTTTTTTTCTCGAAAACGAATAACGATTTTTTTAGTAGTGCCATATTTTAGACACAGGAAGACAAAATTTAAAAGTCAGATGTTTTGCAGCTGCTACTAACTCTGGTAATGTTTCAGATCGCAGTTGATTTAAAATCTGAAATCTGATTTTTCCCACAACAATAAATAATAAACAGTGATTGTCAAAGAAAGGATTTCATAAGCAATTGTGATGAAAAAAATGTCATGCATTAATAAAGTCCTTAACTTATAATAATATGTTGATTAATTTCAGAAAAAATATAAAATTGCAGCCAATATTATTATTTTTGTAATGCGAAATCAAATTCTGTGAATTATTCTTGATTTATTTATCGATTTATTTTGTTTTTGTTTTTAATTAATGCCAAAGATTTGAATATTCAAGATAAGTTCTTATGGGAAATGCTATGACGCATACCCTTACAATCGAATTGCGGGTGAAAAAATGCAAATCGTAAGACAAAAAAATATAGTCATTTACCTGAATCATTAATTAATAGATGAGAGGAAGAAAAAAAATAGGTTAGCGCACATTTCACGGAGAAATAAATTATCAAACATAAAAAGTACTGAGTTGTGCATCGAGTAATAAACGCTAAGGAATAATGGCAACAGCGCAGTAATAAATGGGGATAGGTAGTGGGAAATTTAAATAAACAATTCGATACACAAATTAGTCATTAGAAATGGATTACATTCAACTGTGTTTGTTTGTGTAATTCAATTTGGAATAATAAAATAAAATGGGAAATTTTCAAATGAAGTATGTTTTTTGAAATCTTTTTTTATTTATAAAGTACGATAAGCTTTCAATACAAGAAGTAAAAAATTCAGCAGCATATAAACAAAGAAATATTTATATTTTGCATCAGAGCGCATAAAATGCATGATATTGTTATGCATTTTAGAAAGTTTAAACGTGTTATTCTAAAATTGTTCAAATGGAACACGCTGTATTTTATTGTTCTATTTTATTTACATATCAGTCCACTTCAACTTTTATTAAGCATGTTCTATATCTAAAATTGTTAGTTTTTAAGATACTTACATAATCATTTTTGAAAAAAAAAATATTATTTTATAGAATACCACAAATAAATATTGAATAATAAAATTAACTCAAAATGGAACTATAAATTATGAACTCACAAGTTGACACAATGTGACAGTTTTTTCCAAAACCATTTCGTACGACCTAAAATAATAAAAATTAGGTTTTTACAGAAATGTTACTATATATATTAGAAACTAACAACTTTAGGTGTAGAACATACTTAATAAAAGTCGAAGTGGACTGTGTGTCATATCAGTCCACTTCGACTAAATAGAACAATAAAATACAGGGTGTGCCATTTGAAAAATTTTAGAAAATCAAGTTTGAACTTTTTAAAAATGATCGAATTATAAAAAATGCCCTGTATAAAATATCGATATTAGCTAATGTCGGATTCTTTGCCTAACATTTGTCTATAACTCTCTCAAATATTTTTGCTCCAAGTGTTAGTAGTTGAAAATTAATACAACTTCTTCGAGGTCATGTTTTTTCCAGAATTTTCTACATAACTTAGCAACCCCGCACTAAAATGTTAAACTGTTTATATTGCCATATATAGGATTTTCCCGGAAATCCAAATGTTTAAAAATATACAGGGTGTTCCATTTAAAAAATGTAATATTTGGCGTATCTCGTTTTTACTAATCGCCCTATGTTTCAAATAAATTTTGCCCTTTAGGTTTTTTGATTCTATACAACTTTTATATAAACATTTTTTCTATATTATGAATAACATAGGAGCTATTTTACTTTCTCACACTAATGGCCCACCCTGTATATAGATACTTGAAATATAGGATACAGGGTGGTTTGCGCTTTGCGTAGTTTAGTTTTCTAGTAACTTTCATGATTTCCTGAACCTCAGTTTTTTTTTAATAATTTTGTAACTGTAAAACATTAGAAATTTTAAATTCTCCAATGTTGTAGGTATAAATTAACATATTGTATTGACTAATGTTATTTATACATGAAGAAAGTCCAACGGCGTTAAATGGCATGATCTGATAGGCCAATTCTGATCACCAAAACGAGAAATTACACGACCAGGAAATGACGAGTGCAGTAACTGAATTGTTTCCCGGGATGTTAGGTATGTGGCACCGCCTTGTTGAAAACCACATGTCGTCTACATCTATATCTTGAAATTTAGGTACAAAAAACTGGATTATCATGTCGCGAACACTTTACCTCACAAATGGTGCAGAATTCAAATCTTGCGGGAATTTTGAGACACCAGATGTGTAGACATCTCGTTTTTGATTTTTATTTGCTAGATATTGTTGGTGTAATTAAATGCCAATTATTGGAGCATGTAGTATATACAATAGTTGTTTCCTGTAATGTCAACAATTAGGAATCTTGTCTGTGAGGTTTTTGAGGTTGAGAACACGGTTTTAATTAATTATTTTTTGATCACGAAAAACTGGCGGCTTATCAGCGAACAAGCTACTCTTTGAACTTTCCTTTATCTTTTTTCCTTAAAAATTAATGTGTAATTATTTAATGTCTTGATAAACTGCAGCATTAAATACATTGCACTAATATTTTATTGCTTCACGAGATAATTTTTCGTTCGCAGAAATTCGCCTTTGATTACGGCCGAATTCATCAATGAAAAGTGCAGTTGCTGCAATTTGGCCAGCGTAGCCTATTGGGGTAGGTTGTAGAATTAAATGCAGCAAGCATAAAATGTGCTAAATCCTTATTTGAATTTTTAAAAGATAGTATTACTGTTATTCTCTATGCCTGGTAACAGATCGGAATAACTGAATGAAAAATGTTTAACGAGTAGGTATTGGTTTCATGTATTTTAGTTTTGGTCACGTTTTGCCAATATCGTCATTACTTTAGAGTTCAACTCCAACTGTACATTTTTTATATTCTCANCACGATTGTGTGAGACGAGATGGTCCGAAAAATATAAATCAATCAGAAAGTTTTCTCA